ACTGATCTATGTGGTGACTCCATCCTTGCAGAACCCCATCCAACCCTCAATACTTGCACCGGAACTGTTTCTATCTCCACAGTAAATTGCCCAATTTATGACAAAGAAGAAGACTTACTCGCCTGTCTCACAGACTATGATGGGGCATCAGTACAATGCTACTCCATTCCTCCCAGAGGTCATCGTAAGAAACCCACTAACATCGCCAAAATTACTTTCCATAGGCATGACCTTCCCTTTAACGTTTACATAGGTGGAGAATCCCTCCCTGTCCGACCAGTAATATTGCTCATTCTACCACTTCCCCTACCTCCCAAGCTCCTACATCCTCTCCTAAACCTACCCCCCCTCCATCTAACTCCCCCTCTTCTACTTCCTACCTTCACCAGTCAAACTCTTTTGCCCTCCTAAATCCAGACACTCCAATCTCTACAACAGACACCTTCCCCTCTCCCTCCCCGCACTACCCGCAACAGACAGAACAAACATTCCACCCCCTCTTCCCCTACCACACAATCACCTCCACCTTCCTTTGCCCCTACTCTTGAGACACCAGTCTTCTCTTCCCCCCCTCACAAGAAATCCTTTATCTCGCAAAACTCCCCAACCAACTCCATTGAAGAAACTTTTGAAAATATTGAAGACTATTTAAACATAACTGACACTCATCAACCTTCAAATCCTACAACTCCTGCTCCCTCCACACACCAAGTGACTGCCGATATCCATCCTCCTAACGATATCCCCCCTACACCCTATCCTCCTACCCCCTCCCAACACAGCCCACTCCTCTCCGACTCCAGCCCCGCCCGCATTAACCCTCCCACCATCCCCTCCATCCATTCCACTCCCTCCTGGATACACACGTGAATCCCTCATATCACAAGTATCCCCTTCCACACCCGTCTAACACACTCCTTTCTGATGTCACAATCCGACCCACCCCTATGCTCCTTTTGTAATGTCCCTCTTTCAGTCCCACACATTCTATTGTCATGCCCACGTTTTGAAGCAGCCTGTAGCTCTGCTTCCCCCCACCTATCCTCCCTTCACCGACCTCCCAACCTATCAGACATCCTTACAGAATCTCACTTTCTGCTTCGATAACCTGTTTTCCTTCCTCAAACGCATAAATATCCTTCACTTAATCTAACCCCTTTACATTGCCTCACCCGACCTTAACCCATCCACTCACCAATTCCTTTGCTCAGCTTTGACAACTAATCACTAACTTAGCCACCCTTCACTAACATTTACTATAGTGCTACATGACCTTAGATGTCTAGCACATTTATTTTGCTTTTAACCATTAACCATTAATTAATCATTGTTTCAACTTGAGCAACTACTAGCTGGGTGGTTCTAAGGAAGGTGAAAAACAAATCTATAAACTTACTCCCAATACATGTGCTGTATTATATGATATATTGAAAGAAAAATCTTGAAAAATCTTGTTCATTCTGTTAAAATAGGAATTCAATCTCGCTCTCAGCTTTTCTGACATGTATACATTTCCATTGTATTTGTCAGTGCATGTCAAAGCTTGGATACATAATAGTAATGTTTACGATATAAATTTCCCGGTGTGTGAAGTCATGTTTGTTCACCCGGAATTTGAATAGTTTAGAGAGAATAACCATCTAGAAAATGAAACCCGAAATCGTATTTTTGATAATCTTTATGATGATGAATCTTTATAAATTCCTGAATATTCATTTCGTGGCTAATCCTATTATGTGGCCACAAAAAATGTCCGATACTACATTACGCCATAATGACATGGGGAAATCCGAGGTGAAAACGAGGCTGCCAAGCTGACACTTTTTTCAAGATGGTCGCAAAGC